GGGCATTGCATGTGTGATCCTTTGCGCTGCAATACATTGCGGGCGAGGGAGGGGGAGGGACAGGGGGGAGGAGGAAGAGGGGGAGGAGGTGAGGGGGAGGAGGGAGGAGTACCACCTGCTGGATTGAAAAGTGCGGACCCCGTTAGAGGACTTCGACGCACCCAATCTCTCTCACGCGCAGATGCACTCATCGTTAAGCGGCATGGTCAGACTCACTCATATACGTGCTTGCTCGCGAGCAGACTGATGGACGCGCAGCCACTCATATCCAAACTGGCTCATGTAAGAACTGGGGCGCCACGACATCCACTGGCGCTCATACTCGTTTCTGCTCAACCGCTAACGGCCAGACCCAATCGTAACCGCATTCGCTCAAGCCCACGCGCCTTCTTCATGTTCAGACCCCACTCATGCCTAGACGCCCTCATACTGAAGTTCGGGCAAACGAAAACCCGGACAAGCAACCAATAAGACAACCAGATAACCAACCAACCAAACAACCAACCAACCCACCTAGCAACCAACGAACCAACCTCCCGGATACAAATATTTTGACCCGACAACCAGCGAGCTGATCAGCCAATCAACCCACCAACCAACCAGTCCTTCAATGAGATTTGCTGAGGATGTCCCACGCGGCGGGCCCTGGAGCAATTTCTTTGACGCGGGACCAGATTTTCGACCCTCCAAGCAAAGGTGTTGACCCTGGAAGAAAATTGTTTAAACCCAGCTCCCGACATAATGGGGTCCTTGGGTAGAGGGAGCGGTGACGGCTTGTTAGAAGGAGGCTGCTTCTGAGAATGCGTCTGCCCTACATCTACAGGGAAGGCCCGCGCCTTCCAAGAGGCAGGGGTGCCTCTAACAAGCCTTCCCCCCCCCTTACCTCCCCCTTCGCGTGGCCGACTCTTAGATCTAGAGGACAGAGCTCCCAACCCGCCTCGCACCCCCTGCATGCCGAGGCCGCCAGGTCCAGGTGCTCCCTGGGTGTCCCGCCCCTCGCGTTCTCGGGCAGGTCCCGACAGGTTGGGGCTCCCAGGCCTGGAGCACAGGGCTCCCGCCCCCCCCCCCCGCACCTGCATGCCGAGACCGCCAGACCCAGGTGCTCCCCGGGTGCCCAGCCTCACGTCTTCGACGAATGCCGCCTGCGCATACCGCGGCCGCCAGGCGCCACAGGCCCTGGGTGCTCCCTGGGTGCCCCGCCTCGCGTTCTCGGGCAGGCCCCGACAGGTTGGGACTCTTATAGGCCCTGGAGCACAGGGCCCCCGACCCGCCTTGGTCCCCCCTGCATGCCGAGGCCGCCAGGCCCGCCTCTCGCGCCTGCGACGGAGGACGACTGCACATGCCGCGACCGCCAGGCGCCACTGGGCCCTGTGGAGGGGGCCCGGAAAACGCATCAAGATAGACACAGATCCCAGGATGCCCAATATTTTTCCATGGTTTCTGGGTTTTCGTCGTACCCTCCCCCCACTTCCCATATTTTCTCATTTTCTCCTGGGGGGTCGACGATTCACTTTGTCTGTGTGACTGTGTTTCCCCTCCTCACTATGGTGCTCCCTGGGTACCCCGCCTCGCGTTCTCGGGCAGGTCCCGACGGGTACGCCCCGCACCCCGTGCGAGGGGAGGCCGCCAGGTCCAGGCGCTCCCTGGGTAGAGCCGGAGCTGGGACAGGAGAACATCCTTCAGGAACAGGAGGCCAACCGCCGGCCAAGCTGAAGAACATTTGAGGGTCCCCTTCACCGGGGATGCACGAGAACCTCCAACAAGCAGGAAGAACATTGGAGCACCCTTCCCGAGCCGACCTCGATCCTGCACCTCGGTCCGACCGTCTCCGGCCTTGCGCCTCCGACGAACGACGACTGCTTCTGCCGCAGCCGCCGGGCCCCGAGGGGGCCCTGGTGCTCCCTGGGTGTCCCGCCTCGCGTTCTCGGGTGGGGATCGCTCGAAACACGATATCGGGGGACCTTCTGGAGACCTCAGGGCACCGCTCGTCGTCGTCGTCGTCCTCGTCGACGTCGTCGTCGTCTTAGTCGTCGTCGTTTTCGTCATCATCTTCGTCGTCGTCATCCTCGTCGTTCTCGTCATCCTCATCGTACTCGTCGTCCACGTCGTCCTCGTCGTCGTCCTCGTCATCGTCGTCGCCGTCTTCGTCCTCGTTGTCGTCGCCGTCGTCGTCCTCGCAGTCCTCGTCGTCCTGGCCGTCCTCGTCGTTCTCGTCGTTCTCGTCGTCCTCGTCGTCGTCGTCGACGTCGTCGTCGTCCTCGTCGTCGTCGTCATCGTCGTCCCTGTTCTTCCTCGTCGTCGTCGTCGTCGTTGTCGTCATCGTCGTCGCGTCGTCGTCGTCGTCCTCGTCGTCGTTGTCGTCCTCGTCCTCCTCGTCGTCGTCGTCGGGATCTTGGTTAACGTTGGAGGTATCGGGGGACTTCTGGAGGCCTCCCTGGACCTCCAGGGGGACCTCTGGAGACCTCAGGTGCGCCGACCCTGACATTTCTGACATTTCTCGCTATGCAGCGTCTTGTCGCGCGCCCCGCGGGCGCGGAGCGCGCCGCAGCGGCCCTTCAGGGCCGTGCGGGCACTCGAACAGCGGCCCCGGGAACCCGACCCCGAGGAGAGCAGGGGGAACCAGGGACCAAGTAAAACCTCAGAGGAGAGAGAAGGGGGCCGGGTTTCCGCAAAAAAGGGGGCCCGTCAGGGCCCATGGGCGGGCGCCGCGCGCGCCCGCGCCCGCTGGCGTCAGGCAGCGCGGCACGGCGCACGGCCAGGCCGACGGCCTCTTCGTGGGCTGGCGGCCGCGTGGTGGCGGCTGGGCTCCCTTCGGCGCCTCGCGCTGAGCCCAGCCGCCGTGGGGTCTTCGGGTGGCTGGCTGCCCCCAGCTGCGGCGGCCTCCACCCTTCGGCGCAGCGCGCTGTGGAGGCTCGCCGAGCCGCTCGTGGGCTCCAGCAAGCCTGCAGCGGCTGCTCTCGTCATCATGCCGATCAGGGCCGGCTGGCCTCGGCCCCTCGCATGCCACGCGAGGGCGACGGGGATACACCCTTCGGCGCCTGGCGCTGTGTATCCCTCGCCGAGGGGCGCGCTGCCCCTTCTCTTCGAGTAGTCCATGATGTGCTCGAGCCCGCAGTGCTGCTTGACACTGTGGTGCTCGAACTTGTATCCCTGGTACTCCTGCGTAATCCTGTCCAGTCATGCTGGTCGTCCTGGTACTCGACTAGTCGTAGTATCCGATGTCCTCATTCATGCCGCCCCCGCCTCTGCAGTACAGGAGGGCGCTGATCTTGGGGGTTGTGGGTGGCGGTCGTTTGTAGGGCTGAGTGTAGGATGTGGAGCGTGCTGGTCGGGTCGTTGGGGAGTCGGATCGTTGCTGGTGTTGTGTTGGTCGTGGGCTTCCAAGGCCTCCATGCACCGACTTCAAGTGGGGGTCTTGGCTGTCCCACCTCGTCCCGCTATGGCTAGGGGTCACAGTGCCCTCGGTGGGGGCGAACCCCAGGCCTGGTACTTATTATCGTCGGAGTGGGATGTCTCGGCTGTCCTGTGCTTCGCCCTCGGGCGCTCGGGTAGCTCCTCCTTCTCCATGGGAATGGTGGGGGTGGCGAGCTAGGGCGGACCGCGGGGGCGCAGGTAGTGGCCGTCCTACCCCCCCCCTGCCCCTCACCATCCCCCCTGGTGGGCGCGGGAAGTACTCGTCCTTCCCCCCCGCCCTTCGAGCCCGTCTCGAAGTTTGATCCATGCCTCACCAGGGCAGCGTTGACTTGACAAGAGGTGCTCCCTGGGTAGAGCCGGACCTGGGACAGGAGAACATCCTTCAGGAACATGAGGCCAACCGCCGGCCAAGCTGAAGAACATTTGAGGGTCCCCTTCGCCGGGGATGCACGAGAACCTCCAGCAAGCAGGAAGAGCATTGGAGCACCCTTCCCGAGCCGACCTCGATCCTACACCTCGGTCCGACCGTATCCGGCCTTGCGCCTCCGACGAACGACGACTGCTTCTGCCGCAGCCGCCGGGCCCCGAGGGGGCCCTGGTGCTCCCTGGGTGTCCCGCCTCGCGTTCTCGGGTGGGGATCGCTCGAAACACGATATCGGGGGACCTTCTGGAGACCTCAGGGCACCGCTCGTCGTCGTCGTCGTCCTCGTCGACGTCGTCGTCGTCTTAGTCGTCGTCGTTTTCGTCATCATCTTCGTCGTCGTCATCCTCGTCGTTCTCGTCATCCTCATCGTACTCGTCGTCCACGTCGTCCTCGTCGTCGTCCTCGTCATCGTCGTCGTCGTCGTCTTCGTCCTCGTTGTCGTCGCCGTCGTCGTCCTCGCAGTCCTCGTCGTCCTCGCCGTCCTCGTCGTTCTCGTCGTTCTCGTCGTCCTCGTCGTCGTCGTCGACGTCGTCGTCGTCCTCGTCGTCGTCGTCATCGTCGTCCCTGTTCTTCCTCGTCGTCGTCGTCGTCGTTGTCGTTGTCGTCCTCGTCGTCGCGTCGTCGTCGTCGTCCTCGTCGTCGTTGTCGTCCTCGTCCTCCTCGTCGTCGTCGTCGGGATCTTGGTTAACTTTGGAGGTATCGGGGGACTTCTGGAGGCCTCCCTGGACCTCCAGGGGGACCTCTGGAGACCTCAGGCGCGCCGACCCTCCTCCTCCTCCTCCTCCTCTTGCTCCTCCTCCTCCTCCTCCTCCTCCTCCTCCTCCTCCTCCTCCTCCTCCTCTTGCTCCTCCTCCTCCTCCTCCTCCTCCTCCTCCTCCTCCTCCTCCCCCTCCCCATCCTCCTCCTCCTCCTTCTCCTCCTCCTCCTCCGCCTCCTCGTCTTCCTCTTCCTCTTCCTCCTCCTCGTCTTCCTCCTCCTCATCCTCCTCCTGCTCCTCTTCCTACTCCCTGCTCACTGCTCAGCCCTCTCCACTCCCTCACCCCTGCTGCCTCCTCGTACCGCCCTCCTCCTGGTCAACCGAGCACGCTGTGCGCTGAGCCACTGGCCTATAACGAAGGCCTCCTCCCGATCGAGGAGGGGCGAGCAAGGAGAAATGAGTGCAGGAAGAGGGAAGTGCGAGGAGGAATGAGGATGTGGATGCGTGGCAAGGGGCCGAGGAGAGCAAGGAATCAAGCAGGGTGTAGACTTGCAGCGGGGTCGCCAACCCGATTCTTTTTTCCGGGCAACACAAGGTCCGCAGTGGCACATTCTCTGGGTACAAAAAGGTGAGGCTGGTCTCGGAGCGCCATCCCCATCAGTATGGTTCGCTCGCTTTGGCCGTCTCCTCCGCCTCATCAGTGGCCGAGGCTGGCATCTCGGCGTTCAGTTCCGCCTCGTGTGCCTTCCTTGCCCGCACCTTTCTTCTCCTCTCACGCTCGCGCTCATGCGCCTCGAGGGCATCGAGGTCGACAGTCGGAGGTGTGTCCCCGCAATACTTCTCTGGGCGGAGGACCTGCACGACACGGGTCTTCCCGTCGAGACTGGCCGTCCATTTGAAACGCGTCGAGACCTTGAGGTTGAAGGGCGGGTTCTTCAGCTGGAGGCCGTGGAACTCGCCGAACCTGTTGATGTCGTTGTTGGCCTGGTCGCGCGGCCGCGAGTCGTGGACGAACATCACGTATTTGTACTTCGGCGGGCACTGCAGCACCGTATTATTGAGGAACTGCTGGATGTACTTGTTGGGGAAGTGGATGAGCGTGTCCTGGGAGGGAGACAGAAAACGCATCCATGCGGTTTCTGACCAGATCAGTCCTGGGATGCATTTTGACCAGAATTTTGAAGAGCATCCAGACGAGCAGCGAGGGAGCCGATGAGGAAGGGAAGATAAGAAGGGGCTCTGCAAAGAGCTTCCTGGGGCTGCCTTGGGACTTTCTTGGGAGCCTCTTGGGGCCGTCTTGGGCCGTCTCGGGGCTATCTTGGGCGTCGTGGGGTTATCTTGAGCAGTCGTGGTACTCTCTGGGGCTGTCTTGTGGCCCATCTGGAGCTTTGTGGGGGCCTCTGTATCCTGTTGGGTGCGATTTGGGGGGCCTCTTGAACCGTTCTGGAGCCTGGGAAACCCAAAACGCGAGTATGGCTAAAACTGTACGCTTCAGTCAAGGAATGGAGCGATTTTGGATGATTTGGCGTTCTCTTGGGCTCTTCGGAGCGTCTTGGGGGGACATCTGGGACCGTCTTAGAGCTACGTGAGGGCCTTTTTGAGCGTTCTGGGAGTCTCTTAAACGGTCGTGGAGCTATCTGAGGCCGTCTTGGAGCGCTCTTCAGCCGTCTTGGAACAGTGTTGGACGTCTTTGGAGCCGTGTTGGGCGCCCAGGGTGGTCGAACTTCATTCGGTGTGGGGGGTCGCCGGCCTTGCAAAACATATACATCGGAAGTCGATAAGCATATATACATATATGTGAATATAGGGATCTGCATATGAATGTATATGTATGTGTGTATGTATATTTGCATGTATGTACGTGTGTATCTATATATGTATGTATATATGCATGCATGTATGTATGTAGGTAGGTAGGTGGGTAGGTAGGTAGGTAGGCCGGTAGGTAGGTAGGTAGGTCGGTAGGTAGGTAGGTAGGTAGGTAGGTCGACATGTCTGTATGAATGTATGTATGGACGTATGTGTGTAATACGTAAATACCTATATACTATGTAAGTATGTGTACATATATTTATAGAGAGAGATGGATTCCTCCCCGGGCGTCCTTTGTGAAGAGAAGGTCCGCCCTAGGCAGGCTGGCGTCGAGCAGCATGTCGCCCTGCTGGAAGGCCATGCTGCGCAGCCCGCCCTTGCCTGGCAGAACAGGCGCACCCACATAAACACAACACATCGGAGATCCAGACCTGACTGCGCGCACTGGGGGGGCAGGGGGAGAGGGGAGGACCCCTCAGAAGGAGGCTGCTTCTCAGAAGGCGCCGGCGCTGCATCCACAGACAAGGCCCGCTTCTCCTGAGAAGCAAGCGTGCTCCCAAAAAGCCCTCCCCGTCCCCCCAGCCCCCCTCTGCGGGCGGCCGACGGATGGCAAAATCAACGACCCCCCCCCCAAGTTTTTGAGCAGTGTTCGTCGTCGCTGCCGCCTGCCGCCGCCGTCGTCGTCGTCGCCGCCGTCGTCGCCGTCGTCCCCCTGATGGAGGGTCGGCGCCGCCAGCGGCGAGGCCTCCGCAGGAAGAGCGAGGCCCGCGGGCCCTTCTTGGCTCGGCCTTGCACTCGGGCCCCTTGCGAGCGCGGCGGGCGGCTGACGGCGGCCGGGGGGCCTGCTCTGGGGCACCCGCAGGACCGGCCAGGAGGGGGAAGAGGAGGGGGAGGAGGAGGAGGAGGAGGAGGAGGAGGAGGAGGAGGAGGAGGAGGAGGAGGAGGAGGAGGAGGAAAAGGAGGAGGAGGAGGAGGCGGAGGAGGAGGAGGAGGAGGAGGAGGACAACGACGAGGACTGTTCGGGGGGAGGGCGGACTGGGGGCAAACTCGGCACTCGATGCCCACCCGGAGAAGCGGGCCCTGGACGGGACAGGACACGAAGCCGGTGACACATCGGTGCCTCTCCCCTACCCCTCTCCTCACGGCTGGGATGGCGGCTGGGACCGGGGATGCCCCAGCTCAACCCACCAGCCAGCACACTCCGAAGTCCAGGCGGGTCGTTTGCTTAGTGGGCCCTGGAACCGACAGGGCCGTGTTTTTTTTTTTTTTTTTTTTTTTTTTTTTTTTTTTTTTTTTTTTTTATATATAAAAAAAAAAAAAAAAAACAATCCGCTTTGCCGTTTTTTTGTACCGCCAAGTCCGACGCCGTTTTTTTACCGGTCCGTCTCCGTTTGTTTACCGGTTCTGGCTCCTTCTCCAATCCTGGAACAATTTGTTTGACGTTTCTGGTCGCCGTGTTTTTTGGACAGCTTCCATTTTCAAGAGACACTTTTTCGGAAGCGGTGAAAAACAACCCTGCCGCTTCCGGGACCCATTAAGGACTCGGGTCTGTTGGGTCGGCAAGGGACACCCCTCCCCTGGCGCGCAAAGCGCGCCTGGGGGGGTAAGGGCTGGAGTCGCCGCCAACGGGACCAGCGCCGACCCAAGAGATCGGCGTGGACCTCTGAAAGTCTAAGTTTCTGCGCTTTTGTTGTTCTCCCGCTGCCATGCTCGGCCAGATACTTCTTGTCGGCGGCGACCACGTCATCGAGCAGGTCCACGCCAGTGTAGTCGATGTCGGGCCACTCTACGAAACGCTGCCACCCAGTGGGCCAATGGCCTGCGCTCACCTGAGCTGGGGGGACCAAAAGGTACCGACACCACCACTCCCTGGACTTCTCCCGGAGTGCGTCCTGACCAGAAATTCGAAGAGAATTCAACCGTAGCGACGAGAGCCGCCGAGGAGGCACAAAAGGGCGAGAACGAGAGACAGGTAGCGCTATCGCAAAACAGGCGAGGACGAGGGGCGGGTAGCGCTATCGGTACCTTTGACTCCTCATGTGAGTGTCGAAGCAGAGGGGATCTTGCGCACATGCCGCAGGCTTGCGATGGCTTGCGCAGGCCGCAGTCGCAGAGCACAGGCCGCAGAAGAGGTGTGGCGCTCGCGGGTCCATAAGCAGGCAGCCTGCACGCGAATGCCCTCACACTCGACTTTTGATAGGATTTGGATGCGCCAGCGTCGCCTTCTCGGAAGGAGAGGCAACTTTTGCTCTCTCCCTCTGTCTCTTTCATTGTATATCAATGGTTCGTTCTCTATGTATGTAAAAATACGTATCTCTCTCGCTCTCTCCTCTCTCGCTCTCTCTTATCCGCCTCTGTGCCCTGAGGCAAAATTGGAGTGCAACCAGGTCCCTCGAGTCTCCCGTCCTCCGTCATGGGGGTTGAATATGGAAAGCCTGGACCCCCAACACTTACATGTTCTGGAGCTTCCCGGTTGCCAGATATTTTGTCCCGCGTGCTGTATGTTTTTCCTCGCGGGCGTCAAGACGGCCCACGAGGGCCCCAAGAAGCTTCAAAGACGGTCCAAGAGGGCCCCGGGTCGCCCGAAGATCGCCCCAGACGGGCCCAAGAGGCCTCCAAAACGCCCCAAGAGGCTCCAAGAGGCTCCCCAAGAGGGCTCCGAGAGACCAAATTCACTGATCCCCGCATGGTTTTCCAATGATGTTAGCGTCCTCGCCGTTTCGGGCTTTCGACGCCCCAGCAAGGCCCTATAGGCACCCAAGATCGCCCCCAAGAGGCGTCCGAGAAGCCTCCCTCGAGATCCCCACTGGCATCCAAGAAGCCTCTGACCTACCACCAAGACACAGAGTTGGGACGGGCCGAAAGCTACAAGATGCGCCGTTCCGTGATGATTTATCAAAGGGGTACCTGGCGTCTTGAATGTGTGGAAACTCTGACTGTTTCCCAACATTCTACGTAGGGCTCTTGTTTTCTCTGGACACCCCGCGCAAGTATCTCACCCACCCACTCGCTTCACCATCACGTCACGTACCAACAGAATCACGATTCCCATCAACATCACCACAACTATCATCATCGCACCACCATCGTCGTCGTCGTCGTCATCATCATCATCATCATCATCATCATCATCATGATTCGTGTCACCATCCCATCAAGATCGTGACCCTCACCCTCATCAACATCACCCTCAGTATCGACGTAAGCATCACCATATGTAACGTCGAAAACATTTTTTCATAATGCCTTGGGGGGACAATTAAAAAATATTCGCGGCGCTGTAATGCGAATATAGAAAACAAAAAGATGGCGGGGCAAACCGGACCGCCGGAAACGTCCCCGCGACCGCCCTGGCACTCCGCGTCCAGGGGCATATTCCTGCGTTGGGTTCGCAAGGGGGGGGCAGGTCTTTAGAGACCCCCCGCGTCAACGACGATCGGCGCCGACACTCGGCGCGTCAACGGCGATCGTCACCGACGCTTGGCACCGACGCTCAGCACCGACACTCGGCGCCGACACTCGGCAGTCACACTCGGCGCCGACATTCAGCACCGACACTCGGCGCGCGCATTCACAACGAGTGCACTCTCAGTCCAATCGCCCCGCCAGAGTGCACTCACCAGAGTGCAGTCTGGTGAGTGCACTCTGGGCATCCAAAGGGGGATGCACAGAATGCAATGACCCGCGCATGGCGACTTTCCAATCGCGAACAATACAAAACCCGCAACACGCGCGCGCGTCGGCACATTCTAGGCTGCACTGGCACACGACAACGTAAAGATACCACACTCCAACTTGGAAACCCAAACAGCAACCGCTAGACGAGGTCCGCTTCAGTTCACAGGCCAGCGCGGCGACGTTCCTATCGCGAGCAAAACTAAAAACCACCACGCGAACGCGCGCGTCGGCGTACTGTCGGCTGCCGCGCGCTGTCGGCTGCGCGCGCGGCGGCCCCGGCCTCGTCTGAATGACATGCCGGTCTGGAGCACGCAGGGCAGCCGCGCGCGCGGCCGCTACTTTTTTGAGGACCCCCGGCCGCCGAGCGCGGCCGGCGGCCCCGCCCTCTTTTCTGTGCGGAAGAGTACAACTCGAGGCACCGAGAGGCGCCGAACGCGCGGCGGCCCTGCCCACTTCTGCGCAATAAAATGCCAATCTGAAGTACGAAGAGCCGCCCCGCGCGCGCGGCGGCCCTCGAGGACGCCCAGCCGCCGAACGCGCGGCGGCCCTGCCTTCGTCTGCGCTGAAGAGAAGCATACTCGGGAACACCGAGAGCGGCCGCGCACGCGGCAGCTCTTGGACTGCGTGCCCTGCGTCTCTGTTGGCCCTCTTCTCAACAGCAATCTGCACGATCAACGCTGCCTGAGAGTGATGCACCGCGCCAAACGACGAAATGGAACGATGTTATGAGAGGTTAACACCTTGATCCTCTGAAGACATTGCGCGACGATCAGAAACTGGCCTTACGCGAGATGGCGTGGCGACCTTACGCCGAAGCTTACGCGGGCCGCTAGCGCGGCACGCTACATGGGAAACGAGGGCGCTTACGCGCGACCTTGCGTGGGCCGCTTACGCAGACGCCCCCCTCTTCTTTCGTCGCTCAGCTGACATCCTCAGAGCTGGAAGCTCTGAACCCGCAGCTCCTGAGCACGCCAGGGCTTCTGCGTCCCCGCCCATCTTCGGAGGAGGACCTCCGAGCAGATGCGGCGTAGGCCGCCCTTGCACGCAGTGCTCAGTTCCACGAGGTGGCGGCCACCCTTGGACGCGAAGAAGCGTTGGCCCCATCCCACCGATCTCGTGATGATGGGGGGGCTGAATCGGGGTCGCGATCGGACGAACAATCGGTACTTGCACAGGCGCCCAACACGCTGCGGTCGCGCCTGTCATTGCAACCTGTCCAGCTCAGTCAGCCTGAGCTACAGAGTTTCAGCAGCTGGAGCCCCGCGGGCAAAGCATCTGTTTGTTCGTTCTCTCTCTTTCTCTCTCTCTCTCTCCCTCTCTCTCTATATCCCTCACCCCCTATCTCACTCCACGGACACATGTAGCTACAATATACGCGGATATCTATGCATGTGCAAATACACATGCGTGCATCTATATATAGATATATATATATATATACACACGCCAAAACAAAATTGGTTGATTGAATGGTTGTTAACGTGCTATCTTAACTGCTTGGGTTGTTGTCCGGGCGTTCGTCTGGCGCCCGACCGTACTAGGGCACCTTGTGGGCGCTAGGTGCGCTTGCCTCAGCATTTCGTCTTGTACCACATAGCTCATACCACATAGCATGCGCCACAAAGAGTGCACCCAGTAGATTGCACCACACAGCTTGCTCCACGCAGCTTGCTCCTCATAGCTGCACCACACAGGCCGCACCGCGCAGCTCGCACCACGTGGCTAACACATCCCCTTCAAGGAGTCGCTGTTTGAATGTTTCGGGTTCACGCCTGTGTCGCCGATCGGCGTGGGCCCTGGCCTCCCCCATCCCCCCCCCCTCTGGCGACTGGTCATGACCCCTTCCCCCAAGTCTGCTGGCGCGACTGGTAGAAGCAGATCGACTAAGCACCGGCCCAGGCCCAGAACCCCCCCCCCCTCCCCCACCGTTCGGCCAAATGTCAAACCCCATCCTGGCCAGGCCTGGAGGGCGCAGGCGCCGAACCCAGGTCCAGGATTGGCCCCAAGAACGGTCGTCCTGGGCCCCTGGGCGTATAGCGCTAGTCCTGGGTCCCCCCAGGAGCCCCCCCCGCAAAAAACAGAGCCGCCACGCCTCCCTTGCTCCGTCGTCGTCGTCGTCGTCCTCCTCCTCCTCCTCCTCCTCCTCCTCCTCCTCTCTCCTCCTCCTCCTCCCTCCTCTCCTCCTCCCTCCTCCTCCTCCTCCTCCTCCTCCTCCTCCTCCTCCTCCTCCTCCTCCTCCTCCTCCCTCCTCCTCCTCTTCCCTCCTCCTCCTCCTCCTCCTCCTCCTCCTCCTCCTCCTCCATTTCCAATTTCCTCCTCCTTCCCCCACGGAAGCCTCGACCATAGACTGGACCTCGTCGCGGTGGTTGCCGATCCACCGGAGGAAGAAGTCCGCGAGGGCCGGGTCTTGCCAGGAGCGCCCCAGGCCCCCAGGGCGTCCCAAGGATGCCCCGGCAGGCACCCCTCGCGAGGCCCAAAGGCCTCATGGGGGCTTCGCAATGGCCCTCCTTTCTCGCCACGGATCGTTGTCCATGGCTTTCGGTCGGGCATGTCCTCCTACAGGCGGATTTTGAACGAAAAATGAAAAACGCGTCAGAAAATGTTCAAAAACGTCAGAAATACTAGAAAAATCGTCTCCAGCGTATTCTTTGACTATTTTTGGATTTTCCCCCTGTAGAGGGACACGCCCGACTTAACACCACAGCCCGCTTTCTCGCCACGGATCGCCGTCCATAGCTCCCGAGCCCAAGAGACGAGCACCCCAAGCCGAAGATTGTGGGAAAGCTCCGCGCTCCCAGACATCCTGCGCCGTGTGCATTGGTCACAGCGTGGCTCCCAAGAAGACTGGGCCCCTGCCCTGGGACCGGCTGTGCATCCCGAGGCATGGCGAGGGCCACCGGAAGCCGAAACCCCGCCTGCCCACGCCTGTCGGGAGCGCAAAGGCGTGCGAGATGACGGGCTGTGCCCCTCCCCCCTTTGCCCCTCCCCTGGGGTCCGAAATCCGATTAGAAGGGGGGGGGGCGCGGGGGGGGAGCTCGAGCTGGCAAACGCATGCCCCGGAGCCCCAAGACGGCCCAAAGAGGGCCCAAAGAAAGCGCCGAGACAGTTCACCCGAAAGTCGCGCAGCCCCACGACGGTCCCACGCTTCGAGACGGCACACGTGGCCCCCACGACAGCCCCAAAAGTGCTCCCAAAAGTGCCGCCGAGAGAGCCTCAAGAAGCCCAAGCCGGTTCATTCTTTTAGGCCACACATTTGCAGCATACTCGCCTTTTTCGTCTGCGTCCAAGACGGTGAAGGGGCCCCCAAGATCGTCCCAAGACGGCCCACAGGGCCCCCAAGCGGGCTCCAAGTCGGCCTGGGAGGAGCCCAAAAGGACTCCAAGACGGCCCCAGGGGGCCCTCAAAACGGCCCACGAGAGCTGCAAGAGGGCTTTACGAGGGGCCCCCCAAGAAGGGAAATACGAGCTGACATCCCGCGCCCCTCCCCCCAGGATTGGCCCAAAAGCTCCCCAGAGGCCCGTGGGGCGACCCCAAGCGGCCTCCAAGAGGGCCCCAAGGCGTCTCAGAGGCGGCAAACAAGCGATTTGAATGCGCACCTTACTTTGTCTGGAGGCCGGCGGCACAGCGTAAGCCTCTTGAACCACCAAAAAACTGTTTTCCCACGACGCGAAGATGTCAGGGGACGCTGTAGGTCCTGGCTCGAAGGGTCAGGAGCCCCCTTGGCAACCCCCGGTGCAGGGCTTGCACAGCTCAGGCCGCGAACCTGGTCCGGAGAGCGACGAGTTGTCCCACCCGCCGCTGGAAAGCTCCTCGAACCGTTCCTGCGCGTCCGGCGGTGTCTGGGCCTGGCCGGCGGCATCCCCCATCGGGGCACACTCGGACCGGGAAATCTCCATACCTCATCCCTCGATCCCTCGATCCCTTGGGCCCTTGACCCTTCGACCCCTCGACCCCTCGATGCCTCGACCCTTTTGATCACCTCATCAGGTGTTGAATTGTGGTTCCCTCCTCTCTGTTTCCCCAGGCGTGGAATGAACTCGTCCCTCCCCCTCCTCCTCCTCCTCCTCCTCCATCTGCTCCTCCTCGTCCTTTTCCTCCTCGACCTTTTCCTCCTCCTCCTCCTCCTCCTAATCATCCTCCTGTTCCTACTCGTTGTATTCCTAAGGAGGAGGAGGGGTACAGGGAAAGGACGAGGAAAAGGAGGAGGAAGAGGAGGAGGAGGAGGAGGACGAGACAAGACAAGCCAAGCTCAAAGTTGGGAGGTGAAACGGCTTCCAAGACAAGCTAAGTGCTAGACCCCTGAGGCGGGCGAGATGAGATCGAGGAGGGGGGACACGTCCCGCAAGGGGCAGGTATGCTAGCTCCAACTCGTCCCGCATGCTTTGCCCGGGGCTACCAACGCTCTGCCTACATCCTGAGGGGTGCCCTGGAACAGGAAGCGCCCCTCGCCCCTGGAATTCTGAAGCGAGAAGCAAATCGGCCCCTCGTCACGCACGCCTGACACTGCTGGCTGCGAAACCACTCGAGCCTGCAGTTCCAAAAAACAGCGGCCCCCTTACGAAGGCTGGCGGAACGACGGCGTCAGACTTGCGCGAGTTCACGACAGCACCACCCTTGGGACCCTTGGGACCCCGATGAACAGCAACACTCCCTTCTGGAACCGACCCGACAAACGAGCGGCATCCTGGTCGAGAAAGTCTTCGGTGCTGCCATGTTTGCGAATCGCTCCGCTCTTTCTGACATCATCCCCGATCGCCAGTGCCGGATGTTAAACATAATTCAGCGTTGCCCTCACCTCCGCCGTGCCTCCCAGGAGCCCACGAAGGTGGCGACGGCTGCGCAGTTCGCGGCCCCCGAAGGAGTAGCGAGGTCTCAAATCATCCGCGCTGCCCTCAGCTTCGCCGTGCCTCCTAGGAGCCCACAGCAGTGGCGACAGCTGCGCAGTTCGCAGCCTCCGAGGGAGCGCACAGGATGC